GGAAGTTTCAGCCTCTCGTTCCAGCAGAGAAGTGAGTGAACCTCCATCCATACATGTGATGCATCAGATACTAATACTTTATATTTACTGTTTTCCACATTTTAGAATAATAATAAAGTCGTCAAAATGATTGAATAGCACAAATGGAAATTTTTTTTTAGTTTTGTAACAAAATGTATACTTAGGCACAATTTTTAGAACCTTTAGAACAAAAGTTCTTGTTCCTGGAAAACATAATTACCATGGTAGGTACCTGGTATTTCACAGAATACCATAGTATTATACCATAGTACTTCATGTAAGTGGCACCATGATTTTTATTGTAGGGTTTATTGATTATAGGGTTGATTGTCGTTAACTAAACCCATAAAAAACATTTTCATTAATGCAAATAATATAAATGTTAACTGAAATAAAATATTTAAAAAAAAAACTTATTTTATTTCAGCTTGTTTTCATGGCAACATTTCTAATTTATATTTAGTCTAAGTACTAAAATAATTACAACTAAAAAAAGCTATACACATATATAAAAAAAAAAAAAAAAACACAATTACTAAAATTTTAACAAAAATTCAAATAAAAAAATATAAAAATAGTATCTATCTAATTAAAAATAGTAACAAAAACTATAATACTATTTCAGTGATACTAAACTGACCTGACATTGTGATTGTGTTTCTGAGCAGAACAGCTCAGATACTGATAGTGAAGTTGATGTTCTGCTCTGTTTTCTGTGTTCACGCAGTAAGTTCACGCAGATGAAGAGAAGACCCACCTCCGCTGTGGGATACAAGCGACCAATCAGCCAGTTCGCCAGGGTTGCCATGGCGATGGGAGCTCATTCCAGATACAGGGTACGTTTAGAGAGAGAGATGGAAGTGTATGAAGAAAAAGTGGAACGTGGCCAGAGGATGTCAAATCAAATGGTTGAAATAGCTCATGTTCTGGTCTGTGTGATTATGTCTAATCCAAATATATGTTGAGGATGTTATTTATAAACTTAAAGACAGAAATAGTAATTAAGAAAATGACTTTTTGCAGTGTGCAGTTTTGTGTAGTTGTGCTTGTGTCTTTTGTCCCTCATGTCCCTCCGTAGGCAGAGAATATAATGGTTCTGGAACTGGACATGACTCCCCCTGTTGTGTTTCAACTGGACCTCCCGAGGTCTGGATCAGAGTTGGAACTGTCCCGAGACGTTCTGTTGGACACCAATTACAGAGAGAAATCAGCGGCCGGACGGGTCAGAAAATCTCAGTCATGGTCAGTAAAAGATTTAACAATCATTACACACACACACACACACACACACACACACACA